GAGTACATGGGGGACACTGAGGACCCACAGACCCTCCAAATACAGTACACGGAGATGATGGCAGACTTCATGTTTGTGGTCCCTGCACTCCAAGTAGCACATTTTCAGCGTGAGTACATCTGTAACAAGATCAAGGGAAGAAGCTCAGACAGTGGTTCCCAGGTGAGCTCTGTCGGGTCCTGCCTTGGCCTGTGTCTGAATCAGATCTCTGGTTCCAGACAACTGAGAGTCTTTATCTAGTAAATCCTTATATAGTGCATAAGAGAATGATGTCTTATCTGGGTACAGCTGAGTGACTTGCGCAAACTTCCCCTGGGGAGGACAGAATCTTCATTTAACATGGGACTTTCCCACAGCCAATGCTCCAGGCTGGGACTCTACACTCAATTGTTGTCATTCCAGATACCTTGAGACCAAGTTACCACATTGTCACCCAATGTGGGTCAGGGCAGTATGAGGCAAGCTGTGTTCTTGTGTCACAATGTGTTCTTGCCCTCAGGTTTCCGGGCCCCTGTCTACTTCTATGAGTTCCAGCACCGGCCCAACTTTTTCAAGGACTTCAAACCACGGCATGTAAAGGCCGACCATGGTGATGAGGTTTTCCTTATCTTTGGATCCTTCTTCTGGGGTGTCAAAAGTGAGTCTTCTTTGCTTTCCATGAACAGAATGGAGAACCAAGTTTGTACCTGAAGGATAGCTGAGCTTTGAGTCTAGTTTAGGAGTTCAAGGCTCTGAGAAAAGCAGGATCAAGCGTGTACTATCTCACAGCTTAAAAACCCACGCTAGGTCTGGATATTTTCTAATTTAGCTTGTGCGAGAGGAAATGAGGGTTCACTGGCTCATGATTAAGCCTTGGGACATTACTTAGAGAACTAAGTGGAAATTAGATGTTGAGTTATAAGGGAGGGAGGGAGAAAGGATGAAGCCTAGAATTCAGTTTTAGGGTACAGCTGGCATGGTGAATATGAAGCATGAATGGAGCAGCTACATTAAATGGCTGGGATCTGGACCCTTGCCCTCTCATCTCCAGTTGACCTCACCGTAAAGGAGAAGCTGCTGAGCAGGAGAATGATGAAGTACTGGGCCAACTTTGCACGATACGGGTAAGAAGATGCTCTTCCCTCAACCTCCTAAGGGTTGGGTCTCCATCTAGGGTTCCATTGGTGATCGCATTAGCATGCAGAAATCCTCTGTACCCAAGGAATGCTGAGATTTGTAGGTGTTGCCCACTGGTCATTGCACAGTGAGCTGTGGATGGGTCACAGTACTGCGGTACTGTTCTTTAGATCTTGCCTCTGAGAAGGTGGCACAAAATAGGTCAAGTAGCCTTACCCCATATAGAGTAGAAACTAGTGGGTCATACTTGTATTCCTAAGTCAGGATATCTGCCTCATCAGTTCCCTGTTCTGCTTAGTCCACTTCCCTGACTCAATTGGAAGATCAGGTCTTAGAAAGAAATTGACCTCATGCTTCCCTGTTGATGGCATATCCACAGGAACCCCAACAGTGAGGGTCTACCCTACTGGCCAGTGTCAGACCAAAGTGAGCAGTACCTGCAGCTGGATCTCCAGCCTGCTGTGGGCCATGACCTGAAGGCCAGAAGGCAACAGTTCTGGACCAAGACTCTGCCGCAGAAGATTCAGGAGCTAAAAGGGGCTCATGGTAAAAACAAGGATGTGTAATGTCCAAAGTAAGGAAAGGTAGGTAAACTTCAGTAAAGCTGAGGTTAGCCCGAGGTTCTCACAGCCCATTTAGAAGCCTGCATTGATTCCAACATTCATGTAACCATAACTAATCTCTATAATTGTCCATTTTGACAACATGTATGACAAACACTCTACTTGTCATTCCTTACTCAAAATGCTAGACAAAGTTTTATTAGACATAGTCCATACAGGCTCTCATAGAAGTGTGGGTGTGTAAGCTCCAAAGTGCACCCATCTTCTTTCACACTCCTCTGGTACTAGACTCCTTTCTCCTATCCTCCCCCTTACCTCTCTTCTTTCCCAAGAACAAACTCCAGAAACTGTGGGCAATGTTGACTGCAGAGGGTGGACATTTCCAAAATCCAACCCTTCTCTCAGCAATTCCCATGTTTCCACATAAGTGTCCAATGGAAAACATGGTTTGGCTAAGTCCTAGGTTGTCTTCCTAAGTTCAAGCTGTTGTTCCAGTCAGATCATGAACTGCGCTAGATATTGTGATGGGTGTCTGCGACCCCAGCTACTCAGAACCTGACACAGGAATACTGCACGAGCCCAGGAGTTACAGAGCAGCTTGGGAAACAGAGCAAGACCTACATCTCATAAACAAAAGCAATCATAAGCTGTGTGACTTGTAAACAGCAGAAATGTGTGTGGAGTTCTGTGGACCAAGAGAGTCAGGGTCAGGCTGCCAGTACATCTACTGTGAGCCAAGGACTAGCTGTTCGGCCCAAAGATTACACCCTGTGTCCTCTGCAGGTAGAATGTACAAACTATGCCACTTTGGGACTTCTGTGGGTCTCAACCCTTAACATCGGCACATTAGGAGTTAGGTTTCTGCAAATGAATTTGAGCCACACAGCCTTTCAGAGCTCAGGTTCTAGACCTCTCTGACATCAGCCACTGAACATGCCAGGCTCTGAAAACCTCTGTGCAGATTGTCTCTATAGAGAAAATCTCATCTATTTCCTTCATAAATTGCAAATGGTCCACTTTTATGAGAAGCTGACTTGACATGTTCATAAACACCTCGTGCTGGCTCAGGAGAGGGGGTTGACCAAGAAGGTCCAGGTAGGCTTCCTCTAATAATAAATTTGTTCTTATTGCTTGTGTGTATTTGCAGACGCTGTGAAACCCATACTTGGATGAGCATATGACGTAAGTGAAGATCTTCTGCTGTGATGTGTGTCATGAATGTGAGGTGTGGGAGGTAGGAATGTACACACATGTCTAGCCGAAGAGACTCCTGTCCATGCCACCCTGACTGCTGGCTTCACCATGTATGGGAATTCCTTCCATTTTTAAGAAATTCTTCCATTATAATATAATAATAATAATCCATTATTAAGAAACTCTTCTTAATAGTTCATGTGATTAATTTCATTCTTATGTTATTGTTTTCCTTAAACTTTTCAACGCCAGCAACTCCAGGTCTCTTGTATAACATACCATTTACAATGATGCCAAACTGCCTTTTCTTTCCCCCAAAATCTTGTCTCTTTGAGGGGGTGTGTCCTACTGTCCTATTGATTTTTTTTAAAGATTTATTTATTTATTATGTATACAGTATTCTCAGTGCTCTGCCTGCAGGCCAGAAGAGGGCACCAGATCTCAATGCGGATGGTTGTGAGCCACCATGTGGTTGCTGG